ATGAGTGGTTTATCTTTGAGAATCACCAGTGCCACCAAAGATGGCAGTTTCTTGAAACATTCAGTTCCATGTTTGTTTACTTTCTAGACACTTCATTTTAATCATATGTTGCAAATAATTTTTAGTTTGAAGACAATGTTTTTTAAAAAAGCAAAAGCTTTAAAAATACTTAGAAATGTGTATTTTTATTTATTATTTATTTGCTTTTTAAAAAAATTATTTATTTCAAGAGAGACAGAGACAGTGTGAGTGGGGGAGGGGCAGAGAGAGAGAGAGAGAGAGGGACAGAAGCCCAACCAGGCTCTGCACTGTCAGTGTGGAGCCTGATACAGGGCTTAAATCCACAAAACTGTGAGATCATAACCTGAGCTGAAACCAAGAGTCTAACGCTTAACCTACTGAGCCACGCAGATGCCTCAGAAATGTGTAATTAATTAATTAATCTATTTTTTATCTTTTAAAAATTTTTATTAGAAATGTGTATTTTTAAATTAAAGGTTATAAGTTCTCACTCAAAGGCAGTAGAGCGTACTTCCTCATTTTTAATTGAATGAGGCAGATCTCTATCGTAATCCCATTTCTTTTTATAACATTTTTCTTAATGTAATTTTATATAATTTAAATTACATTTGAGGGTTTATGCTCTCTGTTTCATCTACTAGGATGTCTTCAGTGCCTAGATTAGTACCTTTCACATAGTATTCAGTGCTTCCTGAATGAATAAATAAATGAATAAAGTTATTGCCTACTTTTGTTAATTTTAGAAGAGTTTTTCTTAACCACAGACACTTTGTTTCCTTTTTAAACTAGATTTATGGTGTGGTTATTTTTTTACGTTTACTACATGTGAATTATGTATTATTTATTTTGGAAGAAGAAACCTTAATTTGTCATGAGAAGACAGCAAACTACTGTTTTCTCTAATGTTGAGGGCTTACACTGTGCTAGGCAGTGTATATCTTGACTCATTGAATTAAGTAGATGTACTATTTATTACTGTTTTGAAGATGAAGAAATTGAAGCATAGAGATGTTAATGTAAATTTACTCAAGAAATCTGTGTGCTTTGGCTCTATCTTGAACATTTATCATTTAGGTAATGTTTAGAGGTTTTAATTTGTACTTAGTTCTGGTGAGAGGATACAAAGGAACTACTGGACAAAATTAAGCTGAAGTTAATTAACGTGATTAAGTGGTATTTTATTGGCAGCCACTTGTTATTGTGTGCTGAAATAATAATGCTCTGTTAATTTTTTCTTTTAGTTGGGTAAATATCACAGCATCGCTCAATAGCCCAGCCATTAGGAAATACAGCACCATACTGAATAGCGAATATTGTAATGAAGCTAGAAGCAGTTCTGGCCATTATAGCCATATTCTGGAATCAGAAACTGGGAGAAGGGAAAAAGGATATTTGCTAGTTGAATCTGGTAGCCCAACCCAATGATGTCTGCTTATATTTTATTGACCAGAATTATTTCATATGGTCAGCACATATGAAAGGGAGACTGAGAATGTAGTACTTTTCTTCAGTTGGGCATATTGCCACCTTCAACTTCTCCTAAGGAAGAAGATACTGGATAGGCAGCAGTTTCTACCTTAGATACATCTAGCAGGTTTCTTCCTTGTTTTTTGTTATAAATACATTTAGGGGTGCCTGGGTGGCTCAGTTGGTTAAATGTCCGACTTCGGCTCAGATCATGATCTCTCGGTTCATGGATTCGAGCCCTGCGTGAGGCCTTCTGCCGACAGCTCAGAGCCTGGAGCCTGCTTCGTCTTCTGTGTCTCCCTCTCTCTCCCCCTCCTCTGTTTACACTCTGTCTCTCCTTCAAAAATAAATAAACATTTAAAAAATACATTTCAGTAGGTCCGAAGGTAATCTTAGAAATATTTAGGGGCGGCTGAGTGGCTCAGTCGGTTAAGCATCTGACTTGAGCTCAGGTCATGATCTCTCACTGCTCGTGGATTCAAGCCTCGTGTTGGGATCTGTGCTCACAGCCACCTCAGAGCCTGGAGCCTGTTTCAAATTCTGTGCCTCCCTCTCTCTCTGACCCTCCCCTGTTCACGCTGTCTCTCTCTCTCTCTCGGAAATAAATAAAAAACATTAAAAAAAAAAAAGAAATATTTAAAATTGACTTTCTGTGGGACCCCCGGGTGGCTCAGTTAAGTGTCTGACCTCGACTCAGGTCATGATCTCATGGTTCATGAATTTGAGTCCCACATTGGGTTTTGTGCTGACAGCTCAGAGCCTGGGGCCTGTTTCAAATCTGTGTCTCCCATATTTCTCTCTGCCCCTTCCCTGCTCGTACTCTGCCTCTCTCTCTTTCTCTCAAAAATAACTAAACATTAATTTTTTTTTTTAAATAAAAGAAATAAAATTGACTTTTTGTGATTAAGAGTATTCATTGTTTATGAATAAATTGCAGGGCATTTGGTGCATTAACTTGGTGGATCTGATGATTTTCATTTGGACAGATTGTATCTAATTTACTGCTAACATAACTCTGAAAAACTCAGTATATCTATTTTCAGATGAGGACACTGAGGCTCAAAGTGGTTAAGTCACTTTGTTCAAGGTCACACAGCTAAGTGTCAGAGCTGAGATTGAGCCTAAAAAAAAAAAAAATCCATGCTGAGGGTGCCTGGGTGGCTCAGTCAGTTAAGTGACCAACTCATGATTTCCACTCAGGTCATGATCTCATGGTTTGTGAGATTGAGCCCATGTCAGGTTCTGTGCTGGGTGTGGAGCCTACTTAGGATTCTCTCTCTTTCTTCCTCTGCCCCTCTCCCCTGTTCTCTTGTGCATGCACTCTCTCTAAAATAAGTAACAGGTTGTTTTTTTTTTTATAGTTTATTTATTTTGAGACAGAAACAGAGCATGAGTGGGGGAGGGGCAGAGAGAGAGGGAGACACAGAATCTGAAACAGGCTCCAGGCTCTGAGCTGTCAGCACAGAGCCTGATGCGGGGCTCGAACCCACGACCTGTGAGATCTGACCTGAGCCGAAGTCGGATGCTTAACCGACTAAGCCACCCAGGCGCCCCTAAAATAAGTAACAGTTTTAAAAAGTTAAAAAATAAGAAAAGTAAAAATACTTTTGTTTTTTTTTTTTGCTCACAGTCTTACTTGTAGATTCTAATTCTAGTATACGAGACAGACATTTGGAGTCTCTATTTCTTCAAGCTCCCATTGTTTATTCTTTGCCAAATTAACTTTTATTTTTTCCTTTCCCTTGAATGTCTTATTAAAGCTTTAATTTTGAAATAATTGTAAAATAAGAGGAAAGCCGCAAAAAATAGGACAAATAACTTCTAAATACCCTTTTCCCAGTTAACCAGATGCCAACATTTTGCCACATTTCCTTTATCATTCCCACTCTCTCTATGTATACAGATTATATGTTTTTTTCATCATTTGAAAGCTAGTTGCTGCTATTGTACCTCTCCACTTCTAAATATTTGGGTGTATGTTTTCTAAAAGCAAGCCCATTCACTTAAAAAATCCCATGGTCCTCTGATCAGAAGCAGGAAATGGAACACTTAAACAATACTATTATCCAGTCTGTGGACTCTATTTTCAGTTTTTCCAGTTGCCCTAATAATGGTGTTCATAGCAAGTATGATCCAGAGTCCACATCAGGATCATACTTGGAGTTTAATTTTTATGTACTTTTTGTCTTTTTGAGTCTGGAATGTTTGTCAAGTTGTTTTTTTTCTTTGATGACACTAACATTTTTGAAAAGTTCCCCTGTTGTTTTATAGAATGACCATCAATTTAAATTTCTCTGATATTTCCTCATGATTAGATTTAGATTATGAATTTGGGTGGAAATACCTCAGAAATGAGAATATATCCGTCTCAGTGCGCTTGTGGAAATGTGTGATGTTGGTTTGTGCCACTGTTGGTGGTTACTTGATAGGTTTGATTACTTTGGCTAAGTGGTATGTGCTAGGTTTCTTCACTGCAAAATTTGAATTAGAAGGTATTTTGTAAGGAGATATTTCAAGACTGTGTAAATATCCTTTTTCTCACCCTCTTTCACCTACTAGTTGTAGTATCCAATAATGATCCTTGTCTAATCAGTTATTATTATGATGTTTACAAACTGGTGGCTTTCTTCTTCTTCATTTTTCTTTTATATTTACTAGTTGGTATTGAATTGCAAAGAAGAGCTTTCTCTTCTTCCTCGTTATTGTGTTTTATATGCTTTTATCACTATGCAGTCCTGGCTTGTTACTTTATTCAAAGAGTTTATAGTCTGTCATAATCTGTTATTATCACTGTGTAGTTGGGCCCTCCAGCTGTTCCAGATTGTCCAGTGGTAGAACCTGTAAGTTGGCTCCTGTATGCTTTTGATATATCTCCTTAATTAAAAAAATCAAAACTTTTTAAAAACGTTTGTTCGTTTTTGAGTGAGAGACAGTGTGAGTGGGGGAAGGGCAGAGAGAGAGGGAGACACAGAATCCGAAGCAGGCTCCAGGCTCTGAGCTGTCAGCACAGAGCCCGATGTGGGGCTTGAACCCACAAGCAGTGAGATCATGGTTTGAGCTAAAGTCGGATGCCCAACCGACTGAGCCACTCAGGCGCCCCTATCTCCCATCTTTTTTTGATCTCTTCCTTACTGTACAATAAAATGTTCAGTCATATCCTGCACATCTCCTGCCCCAACTCTGAAATTGGCTATTTCTCCAATAAGCCCTTCAGTTTCTTTCAATGTATTATCTAAAGCAACATAGTATGATATTTCAGAGCCCAGTTTTTATCACTTGTTAGCTGAGTTGATATGTCAAATTATTTCACTTCTGTAAGCCCCAATTTTTATCTGGAAAATGAGGGTTAAAATGGTAGATGTCTCATAGTGTTATGAAGATTAATTTAAATGATGCGCTTAAAGAACAATGCATGTCACATGGTAAATATATCATAAACGTTGCCTATTATTATTGTTATTATATTACTGTTCCCTCTCTTTTCCCCTTTTAACAGGATGTTCTTTTAAAGAATTATTGAAGACAAAGGTTTTTCTGTTTTTTTAATGGCTCTACAGAATTTTAAATCAAATACAATTTGACATGACGGCAAAAAATGTAAGTATTTGTAAATTTTTAAATGTATTCTTAATGTGAGTTGTACTTTTTCCTATGTACATTTTCTTCACTATTCTAATTAATCAAGTTCATTTTACTGGTATTAATTTATGATTGTTTTTGTTTATACATAGAATGAGATAGTAAACTTTAATGCTGTTTGAATATAGCACTCTACTGGGCATGGTAGCATTTTTACAAATTTCTGCCAAGTTCTGCCTTCTCAACAATTGCAAAATTGCTAGCTGTAGAAAGTTTCCTACCCCTCTGCTTTTTTGGTACTGTAATAAATTTGTTTTTGTGCTTGCTGGAGATTTTTACTTAGAAAATCACTGTTTTCTTTGGCCCAGTTTTTTCTTATGGACATAAGGATGTATGTGTTACTGAGATATTGTTCAAAAGAGGCTTGCTGTCCTCCTTGAGATGATTCCTGAGTGGACATCAGATTCTGGATGTTTTGGAGAATATATTCAGTTTGTCTCCTCTGAGATTTTCTGAATCTACTTCCTTTCAAGTTATTTTCTTATTGTCAGGCTGCATCAATAGATTTGCTTCTAATTATGTGAAGGATCATGCCAGAAAATACATACTACAACATACAGGAAATAACTTATAATTGCTTTGCTGTTCCCAGATTCTAATGTTGGAATCTTTGATGGCATGTAACAGAAGCCATTTTAGGCTACCTTAAAAAGAAAATTTATTATGAAGATACAGGAATGTCTCAAAGAATTTATGAGTATGAATTTAGTGGGCCCTCAGAAAGATCTGAGTACAGGAACTTGGAATCTACCAGGAATTGAAGCGGTGTTTAGTTTCCATTTATTATCTCTGCTTGTGTGTGTGCATCTGCTACATACTCTTCTCTGTCTTTCTGCAAATCATGCTCCTTATTTTTCCAGGCAGCATCTCAATCTATGTGTTACAGAGCCAGCCTGTTCAGAGAAAGAGAGGTGTGAAGGAAAGGAAGGAGGCAGCGTGACAGATCCTGTCTGCCCATGCCAGCTCCAATTCCGAACTACTTGGGGCGGACCTCTGACACTTCTCAAGTGCAATATCTATTAGTGGTTTAGTTAATTGTGACCAGGAGAAGCAAGCATTCTATTGTGTGAAAAGATCTTTTGTAAGCCAGACGTATAGTTCCAAATACTGTCGGTTGTACATCTAAAGAATAACATTTGAAAAAAAAACCTTAATTATTTATCTCTATTTTTCTATTATTAACTTTGTTTTTGACATGCCATAAGTAGCTATAAGTAAATATAGACTTTGCTTCATTATCATTTAATTTCATTAGGATAAATTATCAGGGGTAGTCGGCTTTAATGGAAGTCTGTTGTATATTTGTTAAAGTGCTGTTGGGTGAAAAGAAACAAAGTTTTAGTCTGTGTATTGGAAATTTTCTTAGAGGATATTATCTTGATTTTTTTTTCTCCTTTAGGAAAAAGGGGAGGTAAAAGTTATCCTGAACCACAAGATGGTTAACATTCAAATAGCAAGCATATTTTGGCTTAAAATGTGCCTTGAATCAAATATCATCTTCTTAGTCATATGTACAATTCACTATATTAAAAGTTGTTTCCCTTAAGTAGCATAAAACATTTGAACCAGTGGTAATTATATTCCCATTATTTTGTTTGTATATCTGGAAGAAATCAAACAGTGAGCAATATATTTTCTCCTTCTGCTGTGGCATCCTAGGGGGAGAGGGATAAGTGATTAGCTGATGGTCTTTTGATATCTTTGAGTTAGGGACATGGAGAGGTCAAGCTTCAGATTAGGTTAAGCTGCTGTATGTGGGAAAGAATTGGAATAGACTGTCTAAAAATAACCAATCGAGTTCACTAGCTATTCTGCAATAGATATGAACATTTTTGTGGCTTTAATATGTTTTGTCAGGATGCTTACTGAAAGGATTATACTAGTTCACAGTGCCACAAACAATTCATTGTCCTCCCCCAACCCACCAAATATGTGTACCTGATCCTGTACTAGGCTCCTGCTTTCTTCGGATTTATCGTGTAATGAGAAAAGACAATAAATACATATATAATGTCAGGTAATGATAAATGTCATGAAGAAAAATAAAACAAGGTAAGAAGAAAGAGAGTGATGGTAGCAAGAGGGAGCTCTTTCAACTTAGATGGTCAGAGAGTTCTCTTTAAGGACATGACATTTAGACAGAAATGCTCTTGAGTATCAGTTCAAGAAGAAGAAGCCAATCATATGAATATATGGGAAAAATCATTCCAGGTAGAGGCAGGAAAGTTGTGGTTGTTCAAGGAACAGCAAGATGACCGGTTTTATAAGTGGAACAGACTAATAAGCAAGGGAGAGTAGTAGGAGGTGAAATCAGAAAGGAAGCAGGGGCCAGATCATATGGAGCCTCAAAGACTGGGGCATTGGGTGTGTATTTGAAATATCAGTAAGAAACCATTGGAGATCTGGTGGATAGTTGCATGACCTGACTTACCATTTTAGAAAATTTGTCCTGACTGCTGAGTCAGTAGACTGAAAAGGGGCATAGTAGAAGGCAAGAGACTCGTTTGGCACTTAACTCAGTAGTTCAGACAACAGAGTATGGTGATTTGGGTTGGAGTAGTGATATTGGAGATGAGGAAAAGTGGCTGGATCTAGGATGTATTTGAAAGGACAGCCATCAGGAGTTACGGAGTAATTATGATATGGGGGATATATATTATGATATAGTGAAGAAGTTAAAGAAGATTTCTAAGTATATGGCTTGTGTAACTGGATGAATGGCTGTTCTGTTGAATGAGAAGAGAAACTCGTGGGGAATTATGGGATATTTGTGGTAATGTCATTTTGAACATATTAAAATCATTTTGAACATATTAAAGTTGACAGACTAAAACTGTCCAGGTGGAGATCTTGGTTAGGTAGTTTGATAAATGACTCTCTACCTAAGGGGAGAGCTTTGGGTTGCATATAGAAATTTGGAAGGCATTTCACATTAAATTATTTTAAAGTAGTGTTACTACATGAGATTATATAGAATGTGAATAGATAGAGTATACATGAGGACCCAAGGTCTGAGCACAGCATCTGGGGAGAAGGAGAAACAGCAAAGGAAACTCAAAGAATGACCAGAAAGGAAGGAAATAGTGTTATCCTGATGATCTGGAAGCCAAGTGAAGAAAGTATTTTAAGAAGGAGGGAGTAATCAATTGTCACATGTCACTGAGAAGTAAGTAATTCTTAGACATGGAAGAGATTGCCCAGGTCTTAAAGAGGCATTAGTAAACATGTACTCAAACATTTACATCCTTATTTTCTGTTTCTCATTTTACATTTCTTTTATGAGAGCAGTTTTTTGTGAAGAGTTGTTTTTGCCTTATCCATGCCCTAGTAGATCTCATGATTGCAAATGATAGCAACCCTATTCAAAATAGCAAAAAAATGGAATGTATTGATTTATATAACTGAAAAGTCTGGAGCACTGTGGCTTCAAACATATCTGGTTTCAGGGGATCAAATGATGGTATCAGGGATCTAATCTCCCTTCTTTTATCTTTTGGCTCTATATGGTAGCAGAATATCCTATATTGGCCGTATAATTCTTACCTCAGAAGAAAAGAGGGAACTTTTCTTTTTTAGCATTTATGTTTCAGATTCCATGGAGGAGCCTTGGTTGACTATGCATGGCCCACATGCTTAGACAAGTGGAGAAAGAAGTGGGCCAGGTCTGGGTCATGGGTCCACTTCTGTTCAGATAGCACAATTGAAGCTCAAAGAATAACAGCCATACTGGAACTACATGGATTGTGGGATGGATCATTTTGCAAAAAGGAAGTTCTGTAAAGCTGGCAATATATTCATTGTTAAGCAATAAAACTGTTGTCAGATGGTATCCAGTAGCCACTGATATGCTTCATGACCAGAAATGCAGGTGTGTTCTAACTTAAGCTCCCTCAATATACAATAAGAAATTTGAAAGGTAATTTGATGTGTATTTTGAGCCTCGCCAAATAATCTTTGAAAAAATATGTAAGCTGTGGGCTGCCTGGGTGGCTCAGTTGGTTAAGCGCCCGACTTTGGCTCAGGTCATGATCTCACGGTTCATAGGTTTGAGCCCGTACGTCAAGCTCTGTGTTGACAGCTCATAGCCTGGAATCTGCTTCAGATTCAGTGTCTCCCTCTCTCTCTGCCCCTCCCCACTCACTTTCTGTCTCTCTCTCTCTCAAAAATAAATAAAAAACATTTTTAAAAATGTAAGCCATGATACTCATTACAGAAAAATTAGAAAATACAGATAAGGAAATTAGCCTAGAGATTAGCAGCAGAATTTTGCCTAGGAAGACATCTGTTATACATACAAGTCTGTCTGTGTGTGTGTACAAAATATGTATATATTTTTAATAAAAATGTCATACTGTTTTATAACCTACTATTTAGCTTAATCTCTGTGACGAATGTCTTTTCTTGTCTTAATATCTTTGCAACATCATTTATGTTATCTACTATATGGACATTATACTATCTTAATATTGGCCATTAAGTTATTTTTATTTATATATATATATTTTAAGTTTATGTATATTTTGAGAGAAAGAGTAAGGGAGAGTGGGGGAGGGGCAGAGAGGGGGGACAGAGAAACTGAACCGGGCTCTGCACTGACAGCAAAGAGCTTGATGTGGGCTCGAACTCACAAACTGTGAGATCATGACCTAAGCTGAAATTGGATGTTCAACTGACTGAACCACTGAGGCACCCCAAGTTATTTCCATTTTTTCAACTTTTTTTTTTTTTTTGCTTACTCATTGGGTTGTTTTCATAAGGCAAAGTCTTAATGAAATTATTGGCCCAAAGGGTGTGTGCTTTTGGGGGTGTTTTGTTTCATATTGCTAAATTGCATTTCAGAAAGGTTGCACCAATGTATATATTCATCAGTGATATATGAGAGTGCCATTCCCCTTTCTTTCTTTCTTTTTTTTTTTTATGTTTATTTTTGAGAGAAAGAAAGAAACAGTGTGCGCATATGAGCAGGGAAGGGGACAGAGAGAAGGGAACAGAGGATCTGAAGCAGGCTCTGTGCTGTCGGCAGTGAGCTCCAGGCTCGAACTCATGAACTATGAGATCATGACCTGAGTAGCTCAAATGACTTAGCCACCCCTTTATTTTCTTTTTAATCTTTGTCAGTGTAATCAGCAAAATATGGTATATAATTTATTCACTTCTCTTATTACTAGCTAGGTCAAACTGGTATGCTATATGTTCATTCATTGATTGGTCACTTGCATCTCTTAATTCAGTGTCAAGGTTGAAGAGTTAAAAGTCATTACCATTTGTATAACAATCCATACTCGAGTATTGCTCTCACTGACAATCACATTCACGTAATTATGTAATTTGATCTAAGGAACTCTCTCAGTTTGTCGTGCACATGTGTTTTGTCGGCTCCATTTTGCAGTGACAATTCCAAGATCACCTTGCTTGTAAATGGCAGAACTGAACTTGGAATACAAATCATCTCACTCTGAATCTTGTTTTCTTTCAGTTTTGTCAATCTAAAATGTCAGTGTCTATGAAATTATAATGTTGCTAGTGGGGAATATCATTTGATTCTTAAAAATTAGGCTTGGATATTTTTTATTCTATGGACATTTAGTGACTGTTTACAGTATGTAGCACAGTGTTTGAATAACCCAGTAGAAAACTTTTCTCAGGACCTTATTAGGTAGGAAATTTTACATAAAATGGGTTCACCTTTTTCTTTTGCTCTGTGAACCATTATTATTATATCCTGTTTAAGTAGAAGAAGGAAAAAGGCTATTTTTAAATGTCTTTCCTAGCCAACTTTTTCTATTAATCCTTTTCTTTGAGTCTTTAAACTATAAAGTGTTTATCAAAGCAGAAATTATTGCATTTTTAAAAATTTAATTAAACTAATTTTAGTATTTATTTAAAGTCTAAATACAAACAGTTCTCCATTTACTAGACCAGAATTAGCATACAGTGCTGACTCACAACTGATCTTTGTTTTTTTAGAGTTTATTTGCTGGTTATTAAAATGCAAATGTACTGCTGTTTAAAAAGTTTCCAAATTCATTCACTGCTTCACTCTGCAGAAGTTGGCCATTAAGAGCAGGTGTTTAAGCATAACAGTAACTCAGTAACTGTGAACTCTCTCCACTGTGAATATGTGGTTTCAGTTGAGGTTTTGCCGTTATCTTTGTATAATAACAAAAAGGTATAAACTGGTGCTTTTGAAATAATTGTTAACACATGTGTTAAATGATCACATTGTATTAACCATGGAATATTAAAGGCTGTTTTTGCCTTCTTTGCTTTCTTTTTATATTAGAAAACCAATGAAAGTTTTTCTTTCTCTTTTTATAGCAAAAAAGTTTTTTAAAAAAGGAAGGCATATTAGTGATGCTACAGTAAATAAACCTTTGGCATTTACAAGTGAACACTTAACATTAATAAATATGAACAACTCTGGAGATCCATATGGTGGTAATTTGTTGCAAAGGGTTTACTTCTAATAGCATACTTAAAAGAAGCTTGAGAAGCTCCATTTTAGCTGTCTTCCACTCAGCTGCTGTCATAAAAATTTAGTATTCGATGCTAGAAATAGGTTTGCATCAGAGTTACTTTTCCATGATGTGAATAATATGTAGAAATATTTCTGGTAACATATCTCTTGACAAAAAGAAACAGCTATTAGTAGTGCATTTGAATTATTAAATAATGAAATAATTAGCTCTTACATTATGAAATTGCAGAATATCAAATGAGTTCTCATAAAGAATATATAATGCTAATACAGTGGGTAGTTTAAAAACAACACAAGTGCACAGATATAAAGTTATAAAGCTTTGTGTGCTTTAAAATCTTTTCAGTGTGGTAGTACTTTGAAAGGGTGTTTGAAGTACCAAGTTAGCATTGATACTTGAAAATTACATATCTTCAACGATAGCATAATAATAATAGTAGAACAGTTTATTAGAATCTTGCTTTATGTCAAGTTTTCAAAAAGGAAGAGTTTTTTCCTTCCTGGCTCTATAATAAATTTTTAAAATTTTGTTTGATGATACTACCATATTTAGCTCTGTGTTTCCAGGAAGTCCAGTGGCCATCACATTAAATGAAATAAATTGTCTAAGGGTGAGTTTATAGTCATACTTGCTATAGATAGTCCCTCAGGTATCAAATTAATAGTAAAGAAGGATAACATGGATTGAGCACTTTGTGCCCTACAGTATGCTAGATGCTTTACATGAATTATCTTAATCTTTCTAATAACCTAAACCAATAAGCACTTCTAGCACCCTTCAGATTACAGTTCAGGAGACTGCAGTATAGAGAGCTTGTTGACTTGAACACAACCGCATATCTCGATGAGCCAGAATATGAGCCCAAGCAGTTGTATTTGAGACCAGTAGGCTGCACCTCTGTAGTATTCTTAATGGTGTTTATCTGATTCATTACATATCGTCATGTTGAAAAATGCATAATAGAGGCACCTGGGTGGCTCAGTCGGTTGAGCGTCTGACTTTGGCTCAGGTCATGATCTCACGGTTTGTGGGTTCGAGCCCCGCATCGGGCTCTGTGCTGACAGCTAGCTCAGAGTCTGGAGCCTGTTTTGGATTCTGTGTGTGTCTCTCTCTCTGACCCTCCCCTGTTCATACTCTCTCTCTCTCTCTCAGAAATAAGTAATAATAAAAAAATTAAAAAAAAAAGAAAAACTCATAATAGGCAGTGATTATAAACGATAAAAATTAAGGGCAACTCGCAGGTGGAATTTTGGTAAATCTATTGGCAACATCATGACTGCCACAGCTTGCTTTCAAAAAAAACCATAAGTAAAATCTGTAGTTCTGCTCACAAGTAACATTATTTCATTAATTTTTATCTTAATCTGCATAGTTCCTGTTTTTCCCATTTCAAGCAACATTTTCTTTTAAATTCTACTCCTAGTTTTGATATAATTAATTCATTTTTATGTGGCTGTGTTTATTATTTTACATGGATCTTCAGTGGAAGGTATAAAATAACTTATTAAATGATCACATAATACTTAAGATTCTATTTTTAATTTTTAAAACTATTTTATTCAGGTTGGTTTGACTTCCACAAATGCAGAACTAAGAGGATTTATAGATCAGAATCTCAGTCCAACAAAAGGTAAGGACAGTTGAATAGAAATTTTTTGCATTGAGCCAGTTTTACTGCATTTGTTGTATAAAATATGCAGCTATGTTGTGTTACTTTATGTATAATGATAGTTATATAATATTACTGTGTTGTGTTATCATATACCAAATAACTTATATTATATGAAAGTCAGTTCTGAGAGGTGGGAAGAGAGTGAGGTTGAGAGTGTGTGTGATATTTGTGTTACTTTTCTCCATCTATCTTTCATCAGTATCTTTTAGTATGTAGAGATATTTGGTATGTAGAGATAAATACTGAAATATTTATGGTTGAAATGATATGATGTTTGAGATTGCTTCAAAATAATCCACTAGGGGAACAAGAGTAAAGTGGATGGAATTATAGATAAACTGTCTATGAGTTGATTAAACTTTTTAACCTGGGTGGATAGCTGTATGGGGTTTCATTATTCCTTTTTCTCTTCCTTTGTATATGTTTGAATTTTTTTGTTTTTAAAGGTAGGAACAAAATAGATGTCATTATAATACACATAGCTATTAGAGAAACATCAGCTTCCTCAAAGGGTTTATGTCCAAGGTAGGCTATATGCTCTGGAGAGAAGGCTAGAGAAGTCTATATTTTCAGTATTAAAAAATCTAACTTAATAGTAAAAATGTCTGTGAAAATTTAATTGTGTTATGAAACAGTGAAAGAGATACCATAAACTTCTCATTTCCCCCCCAATGTTTTCATTGTAGTAAAATACACAGAACATAAAATTTACAACTTTAACCATTTTTAAGTGTACAGCTCTGTGGTATTAACTACATTCATGTTGTGTAGTCATCCCCACCATCCATATCCATAACTCCTTTCACCTTGCAAAACTCAAATTCTATACTCATTAAACAATAACTCCCCACTCTCCCTTCCCCGTTGTATCTGGGAACCACTATTATTTATGTCTCTATGACTTTGACTACTCCAGGAACTGCATGGAAGTGGAATCCTAATAGTAATTGTCTTTTTGTGACTGGCTTATTTCATTTAACATAATGTCCTCAAGTTTCATCTATATTTTAGTATGTGTCAAAATTTCCTTCCTTTTTAAGGCTAAATTCTATTCCATTGTGTATTTATACCACCTGGGTTGCTTCCTTATTTTAGCTGTTGTGAATAATGCTTCTATGAGTACAAATATCTCTGGGACTCTTTTTTCAATTCTTTTGGGTATATACCTAGAAGTGGAATTTTTGGGTCATATGGTAATTCTATTTTTAATTTTTTGGAGGAATTACCATTCTGATTTCTTCAGTAGCTGTACCATTTTACATACCTGCCAACAGTGCACAAGGGTTCTAATTTCTCCACATCCTTGTCAACACCTATTGTTTTTTGTTTTATTATAGCCATCCTGGTAGATGTGAAGTGATATCTCACTGTAAGTTTGATTTGCATTTCCTTAATGACTAGTCATGTTGAGATCATCTTTTTATGTGCTTCTTGGCCATTTATATATCTTCTTTGAAAGCTCTACTCAAGTTTTGGAGTTGTGTTTTAGGAATTCTTTATGTATGCTGATATCAATCCCTTATGAGATAAATAATTTCCAGATATTTTCTTCTGCTCAGTAGGTTGTCTTTTTGCTTTCTTGATTGTCTCTTTGGATATGCAAAAGTTCTTTTTTTAACTGAGGTCCAATTCATCTTTTTTCTTTTGTTGTCCGTGCTTTTTGTGTCACATCCATCACATGGTTGCCACATCCACTGTCATGAAGATTTTCCTTAATGCTTTCTTCTATGAGTTTTATAATTTTAGTTCTTTAGTTTAGGTCTTTGATCTATTTTGAGCTAATTTTTATATATAAGGGAAGAGTCACATTAGCATATGAATAACCAGTTTCTCCATTACTGTTTATAATGGAGGTCACGGTCACCCTTGTCAAAAATCAATTGGCCATGTATGTGAAGGTTAATTCCTGGGCTTTTTATTCTGTTTCCTTGGTCTGTATGTCGGTTCATATGTCAGTACCATAATGGTTTTTAAAAAGTTAATTAATTTTTGATGGAGAAAGAGAGACAGCAGGGAGGAGTGGCAGAGAGAGAGAAAACAGAATCCCAAGCAGGCTCCATGCTGTAAACACAGAGCCTGATATGGGGCTCGAACTAATCATGACCTGAGCCGAAACCAACAGTCAGATGTTTAACTGACTGAGCCACCCAGGCGCCCCCAGTACCATGATGTTTTAATTATTGTAGTTTTGTAATAAGTGTCAAAGTTGAGAAGTGTGAACCCTTTAACTTTATTCTTCTTTTTCAGCATTATTTTGCTATTTAGGATTCCTTGTAATACCATATGATCTTGAGGATCTGCTTTTCCATTTCTGTAAAAAAAACTTGCTTTGGCTTTAATGACACCTTTATCCATTTTGAATTTATTTTTGTGTATGGTGTGAGAAAATGATCTAGTTTCGTTCTTCTGCATGTTGCTGTCCAGTTCTCCCAACACCGTCTGTTAAAGAGGCTGTCTTTTTTCCATTGGATACTTTTTCCTGCTTTGTCAAAGATTAGTTGGCTGTATACTTTTGGGTCCACTTCTGAGTTCTCAATTCTATTCCATTGGTCTATGTGTCTGGTTTTGTGCCAAAACCATACTGTCTTGATGATGACAGCTTTGTAGTAGAGGCTAATGTCTGGGATGGTGATACCTCCCGTTTTGGTTTTCTTCTTCAATATTACTTTGGCTATTCGGGGTCTTTTGTGGTTCCATACAAATTTTAGGATAGTTTGTTCTAGTTTTGAGAAGTATGCTGGTGTAATTTTGATTGGGATTGCATTGAATGTGTAGATTGCTTTGGGTAGTAATGACATCTTAACTATATTTATTCTTCCTATCCATGAGCATGGAATGTTTTTCCATTTCTTTGTGTCTTCAATTTCCTTCATAAGTTTTCTATAGTTTTCATCATACAGATCTCTTGTATCCTTCGTTAGGTTTATTCCTAGGTATTTTATGTTTTTTTGTGCAATTGTAAATGGGATAAGTTTCTTGATTTCTCTTTCTGTTGCTTCATTGTTGGTGTATAAAAATGCAACCGATTTCTGTACGTTGATTTTGTACCCTGCAACTTGGCTGAATTCTTGGATCAGGTCTAGTAGGCTTCTGGTGGAGTCTCTTGGGTTTTCTATGTAGAGTATCATGTCGTCTGCGAAAAGTGAAAGTTTGACTTCTTCTTTGCCAATTCTGATGCCTTTGATTTCCTTTTGTTGTCTGACGGCTGATGCTAGGACTTCCAGCACTATGTTAAACAATAGCGGTGAGAGTGGACATCCTTGTTGTGTTCCTGATTTCAGGGGAAAAGCTCTTAGTTTTCCCCCAGTGAGGATGATGTTAGCTGAGGGCTTCTCATAGATGGCTTTTATGATGTTTAAGTAAGTTCCTTCTATCCCGACTTTCTCTAGGGTCTTTATTAAGAAGGGATGCTATATTTTGTCAAATGCTTTTTCTGCATCTATCAATAGGATCAATATGGTTTTTATCTTTTCTTTTGTTGATGTGGTATATCACATTGATTGATTTGCGGATATTGAACCAGCCCTGTAACCCAGGAATGAATCCCACTTGGTCATGGTGGATAATTCTTTTTGTGTGCTGTTGGATTCGATTTGCAAGTATCTTGTTGAGGATTTTTGCATCCGTATTGATCAAGGATATTGGCCTGTAGTTCTCTTTTTTTTGCTGGATCTCTGTCTGGTTTGGGAATCAGAGTGATGCTGGCTTCATAAAATGAGTCCGGAAGTTTTCCGTCGATTTCTATTTTTTGAAATAGCTTGAGAAGAATTGGTATTATTTCTGTTTTAAACTTCTGGTAGAATCCCCCAGGGATGGCTTTAATGTCACCTTAACATTGTGAAGTCCTCCTATTCATGAACATATTTCATATATTTAGGGCTTATTTCATTATATCATTTCTTTTTGAAGTATAAAAATGTTCTGGAAATTGATAGTGGTGATAATTATACAACTTTGTGAACATACTGGAAACCACTGAATTAAATTATATAAGTTAAAAGGTAAATTTTTGGTATGTGAATTATACCTTTATTTAAAAAAAAAAAACACCAACCACTTTCTTTAACTTGATGTTTATTTCCAGCTCTGATTTGTTCTTCCCCTCATTGTCAAACTTCTGGAAGAAGCTATACACTTATAATCCCATTCTTAGCTTTAATTTACTCTTCTGCCCAATGTAATCTGGCTTTGACTCCAGTAATCCCCTGAAACTGCTCTTGGTCTTTTGTCTTTTTCCTTTTTCGTTTATCAGCATTTCACACAGTTAATTTCCCCCCTTGTTTTTTAAATAACATTTTAATTTTAGAATAGTTTTAGATTTGCAACGAAATTACAGAGATAGTACAAGAGAGTTCTCATAAGCCCCTTAGTTTCCCCTACTGTTAATATAATACATTGGTCTAGTACAGTTTTTTCAATTATTGGGTCAAAGTCAACATATGTTAATTAACATAAATCCAACTTCTTCAGATTTCCTTAGTTTTTAGCTAATGTTCTCTTTCTGCTCCAGGAGAGCATCCAGGAAACCACATTACATTACCATCATCCTTAGCCTCCTTCTGGCTGTGACAGTATCTCAGACTTTACATGTTTTTAATTGACAGTTTTGAGGAGTATTCAGGTAGTTTGTAGAATGTCCCTAAATTGGGATTTTTCTTTCTTTGTTAAAAATTTTTTTAATGTTTATTTGTTTTTGAGAGAGAGAGATAGAGTGTGAATCGGGGAGGAGCAGAGAGAGAGGGAGACACAGAATCCGGAGCAGGCTCCAGGCTCTGAGCTGTCAGCATAGAGCCCGAAGCAAGGCTCGAACTCATGAGCTGTGAGATCATGACCTGAGCCGAAGTCAGGCACTTAACTGACTGAGCCACTCAGGTGCCCCGCAATTGGGATTTTTCTGATGTTTCTCATGATTAGATTGGAGTTATGAGAAAAACCACAGAGATAAAGTACCATTTTCA